TGATCTGTAAGTAATGAATGAGAGTCATCAGTTTCTTCAGAGTCAAGAACTTAGAGTCTTACTCAATGAGCTTGTTCTGCATATCTTTATTCAGTCTCTTCATAAATATCATCATTCAGATCTTGTTTCAGAGCCCTGTTTTCACAGATCTCAATTCATATCATAATTTCATGAAGCACTGTGAGTAGTCTTTATCAGATTCCTTATCTCTTTTTCTAATATTGATGATCACAGTTCAGATGTTCTCTGTCTGACTTGTGAAGTTTCTCAACTTGTTCTCTAGATAGATCTTAAGAACAGATTATCAGAATCTCTTATAATCATTCTCTAGATAATTCAGTCAGTTCTTGACTTCAGTGTAATAGAGATCTGTCATTGTGTAAATGACAGCTTCTTCATCTTTCATATCACACAGTCAGGCTTGTGAGTCAATTTTAAATACAAACTCATAAAAGCTTTTATAGATTGTGATTCAATAGATAATCTTAAGTGATCACAGCTTGAGAAAGTTTCTTTTCAGTTCATAGATGTCTCTGAAGATTATGTCTAGAGACTCAGTTTGAGAGTGTTTGTAGACAGTAAGCATTTCTTGTAGAAAAATAACTTAGTTCTGCAGAAGATGCTCAAGAATGTTCTTCACTGAGATTGATTTATTCATGAGTTCAGAGAGTTCCTCTGTCACAGATGCAGAGAATGATGTTCTGTGAGTGATTGATAAGTTCTCTGAGACTTCTTTCATAAGAATTATTCATGATTCAGATGACTGCTTCTGAGTGTCTGTAGTAGAGTTCACAGAGATTGAAGCATGTAAGTTTATAGTTCTTTCAGTCATAACAGGCAGTTGCTGACTGACTGAGCTTGAAATGTAAGAATAAATGCTCACAGGTGATTATTCAGGTGTTTGCAGCTTGATGTGATATATACTGTTAACTACTAGAAGTGTTCAAGTAGAAAGATAAATATAGAGATTAAATGTATAATAGCATTCAAGCTGAGTTATGAATAGTATTCATGAACTCCAGTCTATATAGTTGTGTGTAGCCAAGGGCCGCTAGCCCTATTGGTTACGCGAGAGATAGGAATAGAGGTAAAGAATCCGCGAGGAGCGGGATTTCTTACAAGATAGTTCAGTCAGTTCTTGACTTCAGTATAGTAGAGATCTGTTATTATATAAATAACAGTTTCTTTATCTTTTATATCACACAGCTGAGCTTGTAAGTCAATTTCAAATACAAACTTGTAAAAGCTTTTATAAATTGTGATTCAATAGTTAGTCTTAAGTAATTGTAGCTTAAGAAAGTTTCTTTTCAGTTCATAGATATCTCTGAAGATCATGTCTAGAGACTCAGTTTAAGAGTGTTTACAGATAGTAAGTATTTCTTATAGAAAAATAACTTGATTTTATAAAAGATACTCAAGAATGTTCTTCACTGAGATTGATTTATTCATGAATTCAGAGAGTTTCTCTGTCACAGATGTATAGAGTGATATCTTATAAGTAATTGATAAGTTCTCTGAAATTTCTTTTATAGAAGTTATTCATGATTCAGATAGCTGCTTCTGAGTATCTGTAGTAGAGTTTACAGAGATTGAAGCATATAAGTTTCTAGTTCTTTTACTTATAATAAGTAGTTACTAACTGACTGAGTTTGAAATGTAAGAATACGTGCTTACAGACAATTATTCAGATGTTTACAGCTTGACATAATATATACTGTTAACTACTAGAAGTATTCTGTAAGAATAAGTGCTCACAGGCGATTATTCAGGTGTTTGCAGCTTGGTGTGATATGTACTGTTAACTACTAGAAGTATTCACAGTAGAAAGATAAAATGTAGAGGTCAAATGTATAATAGCATTCAAGCTGAGTTATGAATAGTATTCGCGAACTCCAGTCTATATAGTTGTGTGTAGCCAAGGGCTGCTAGCCCTATTGATTACACAAGAGATAGGAATAGAGGTAAAGAATCCGCGAGAAGCGGGATTTCTTACATATTCACAGTAGAAAGATAAAATGTAAAGATTAAATGTATAATAGTATTCAAGCTGAGTTATGAATAGTATTCACAAACTTCAGTCTATATAGTTGTGTGAAGTCAAGGGCTGTTAACTCTATTAATTATGTGAGAGATAGAAATAGAGATAAAGAATCTGTGAGAAGCGGGATTTCTTATATTCATAGATGAAATTATTACACTCTGAAGAAGCCTGCACTTCTCACCAGTTTTTAAACATACTATCAGATGTGATTCAAAGATTGCTTGAGTTAGTGTATAATTACAGATGTACATCAGCTTCTTATATATGTTATCTAAATTAATTAGTGGCCGCTAGAGTCTCTTTACATTTGTAAGTGTCTTCAGAAGCGGCCGCGTTATTATCTGATAGTTGTATATAGACTGACCGTGTGACTGTGTCTGAGACCAGGATCAGATTTTTTGATAGTCTCATTATCAATTTGACTGATCTCATTACATGGTTTTAACATTAGATAGTAGTCTCATACTGTCTCAGTGAGACTTACTGTCTACTCTTATCACATTTTTCAAATGAGATCATGATTTTCACTTCTCAATTTAAATTATTTTTATTACTTTAAATGACTTTAAATCTTATTTAAGTGTTATCAAAAAGCATTACTTTTTAAAAAATTAAAAATAGTTCAAAAAAAATCTTAAAATGTCTAAAAATAGTAACTTTATGTCAAGAATGAGACTAAATGAGATCAAATGAAATCACTTTCTTATTTTTTTCAAGTCATGGTTTCATTTTAAGATCTGATATATAGTCACTTTATCTGTTTTTTTAATAGCCAGTCTTAGCGGGATTCACGCCAAGAAATGTATAAGATCAGACCAAATGAAATCAAATGTGAAATTCATGATTTCAGTGACCAGTCTAGTTGTATATTCTTCCGAATCACATTAAATTAAATCTAATCATTTTTTACATCATTTCTCTCAAAAATAACTTATTTTCATATTTTTTTTAATACTTGGTTCTAATGAGACTTATATCAAGAAATATATGAAATCAGATTAAATAAGATTGAATGTAAAATTTATAGTCTTATCAGCTAGTCTAATTGATTATATAAGAGATAGAGATAGATATAAAGAATTCATGAGAAGTGAGATTTCTTACAATTATTTAACTTTAATAAGTACTTTAAGCTTTAATACTTTTAAAAATATTATATTTAAAACAGTAAGTTAAAGTCAGTGAAATAATTCTCAGATTTATTTATAGATTAATAATTACATAAACTTTTAAATACTCAGTATTTAATTACTTTAAAACTTTAACTTTTAAATATTAAATAATTAATAATAATCTCTTTCAGATTATAATTAATTTATAAATCTTAATTTATAAGTTCAGTAATATAATTAGTAAGAGTTATATAACTATAAATAAAGACTATAAATATACTGATTATCAGAATTATAAATTTCATATTTAATCTCATTTAATCTGATTTTATAAATTTCTTGGCATGAATTCTGCTGAGACTAGTTATTAAAAAATCATGCAAAGTGACTATATATCAAATCTCAAAATGAAATCATGACTTGAAAAAAATGATAAAGTGATTTCATTTGATTTCATTTAGTCTCATTCTTAGTATAAAGTTACTATTTTTAGACATTTTAAGGTTTTTCTTTAGACTATTTTTAATTTTTTAAAAAGTAACACTTTTTAGTAATGCTTAAATAAGATTTAAAGTCATTTAAAGCAATAAAAATAATTTAAATTGAGAAGTGAAAATCATGATCTCATTTGAAAAATGTGATAAGAGTAGACAGTAAGTCTTACAGAGATAGTATAGAACTACTATTTAATGTTAAAATTATGTAATAAGATTTAGACTGACTGTATGACTGTGTCTGAGATCAGAATCAGATTTTTTAATAGTCTTATTATTAATTTAACTGATCTCATTACACAGTTTTAATATTAGATAGTAGTTTCATACTGTTTCAGTGAAACTTACTGTCTACTCTTATCACATTTTTCAAATGAGATCATGATTTTCACTTCTCAATTTAAATTATTTTGATTGCTTTAAATGACTTTAAATCTTATTTGAGTGTTATCAAAAAGTGATACTTTTTAAAAAATTAAAAATAGTCTAAAAAAAACCTTAAAATGTCTAAAAATAGTAACCTTATACTAAGAATGAGACTAAATGAAATCAAATGAGATTACTTTCTCATTTTTTTAAGTCATGGTTTCATTTTAAGATCTGATATATAGTCACTTTACATGTTTTTTGTTGGGGGTCCCGCGGTTGGTCCGCTCTTCTACCAGCAGGCGCTGGTGGTGATTGAGCTCTTTTGTCCCAGTAGCCTACAGGTTATGAGACCCGTTTTGCGCAAAATCGCTGCTAATTCGGGATTCCTTGTCAAGATAATCATTATTTGAACTACTGCTTCATTTGATACGCTCATCAGAAGTTAAAATCGTCTTATTCTATCAGTATTGATGTGTTTGAGATCTTGATGATCAATAATACTGTGATTCAAAGGTTGCTTAAGCCAGCGTACGATTACAGGCGTACGCCGGCTTCTTATATATTGAATCTCGTACACTAAATTAATTAGTGGCCACTATGGCCCTCTTTACATTCATACACTAGTCGTTCAGAAGCAGCCATGTTATTATCTGACAGTTATACATTCTTTCAAACCACATCCTCTCTCACCAGATTCAGTCACACTCATGTGACCATGTTGTACACTCTAGCTTCATGCAGATTAGCTCATCACTAGTATTTCACAATTATATAACTTATCTCTGATTCAGCTAGTATTCTGTGTACACTCTCACAAAGAAACTTCCACTATATTATATCACTCATTCACTAACTTTTCTCATTCTTCAATCATCATCTTCATTATCATCATTATCAAACATCATTATTATCTCAGATTTCTATCTCTTCTTCTGTTCAACTCTTTCTATCTGTTTATCTATCATATTATACACATTTCTGACAATGATCTCTCATTCTCATAACAAGCATTATCATAGTGCTCATACTGAGCAGTTCATTAGCAGTAAGTGTAACATGTTGTGAAACATGATCAGGACTTGTTTATCTTCTAATAATTGTCAGAATGATGTATTATCATGAATGACATATCTTCTCCACCTTCTTATATACTCTCTTCACCTCCTTGTACACTCTTGACTGTTTCTCTTCTCAGTGAGTTTCTGATCATGTTTTCTGACATGATTTTATGTGGATGCAGATGCTGATATATTGTTTTTATTTATGTAGAATCTTCATATATTGACAGATTCACATTCATCAATGATAGTGAACTCAATGTTGAATCATTGATTGAGAATCTGAAGGACATAATAATGAAGAAATTATCTGTGCCATGTGTGGCTGAGTCTCCCGCATTCTTCCCTGCCTCTTCTGCCGCTGCCTCTCAATCTTCTACACCTGTCTCTGTGTCTGGTTCTCCCGCTCTCACTATCTCTGTTTCTGCAATCCCTGGTTTTGCTGTCTCTGCTTTCATTATCAGCTCTCCCTGTTTCAAGGAGATATTGTGTAGACTTAATGAATCACATCTCTCAGCATGTACACTCTCACTCTTCTTATCAACTCTCAGAATAATTTATTGTATGAAGACTGTATATAACATAACTATCTGAAGCTCAGTCACAGACACTGATTATTATATTCATTTTAAATATTCATGATAAGATAATTATTCATTCATTTCAGAGAATCACTCTCTCTCTTAACAGTGTTGAGATTGTAAGTCTTTTTCTTTTTATCTTTTCTTTCTGACACTGATTTTTCTATTCTTAGGAGAAATTGTTATGAGTTTTATTATGCATGAAGTCATGACATTCACAGATATCAAGAAACTTTTCACAATTATTAAATTTAATATTACAGATATATCTGCTCTAATGAATATCTTCTGCATGATTAATCTGTATAAGCCTATTCTCTGATGTTTGTTGTTCAACTTCATGATGCAGATGAAGAATATCTGTGTTTTTGAGAACAGAAATGCAGATATCATTCTCTTTTACACCTGCAGATGTGAGGCTCATACACCTTGTCTAAGATGTCATTGTGAAAATGAGCTGTTTGTATACTGTGTTCTGCTTCCTGCATTTCTCTGTGTCTCTCTCTCTCTTTCTGAGAAGTCTTGTGTGTGTTGTAATTGCATGTACAACTCTAAGACTAGCAGATGTTCATTCAGTAACTGTTCTCATCTCTGAGTTTGTGATTTTTATATGCTAACAATGATTCTTAGTTGCTTCAGTGTCAGAGATCATTCTAATTGAAGATGATAACACTGCTAAGACTATTTCCTCTCACTTTCAAGCTTGTCTCATCACTTCCTCTCTCTTCTCTGCAGAGAAGGCTGTGTACACACTGAATTGTAAGTGTTCAGCTCTGAGTGACTTCTATTATTCATCTGATTCTGCATCTCCTTCTTTCATTTGTTTTATCTTCACTTCTTCTTTCTTGACTTCTGATTCTGTAAGTCTCATGCTGTAAGGGGCCTACGCCGAATAGATCGGTATAATATTGATAGGTCTTATATAACAAAGATAAAAACGCTGGAGAAGGAAAGAAAGAGAAAGTGCGAGAATCAGCGATCGAGGTGGATATTTATATGTGTATGTGGTGGCGTACGCGGTGGAGCTTCGGGGCGGAAGAACATATACATGTTCGTAGCGGCCGAGGATCGGCAATCGAGAATGGCCGAGGATCTGCAATCAAGAATGGCCGAGGATCTGAGTGTACATGGAATCTGTGGAGTGTAATGGAATAGTCTATATGATTGATCGGGGTGGCGGCCGAGGATCGGCGATCGAGAATGGCCGAGGATCGGAGCGTATGTAGAATCTGTGGAGTGTAACAGAATAGTCTATATGATTGATCAGGCGCAGCCCGCCACATTAGCCCCCCCTTTCCAGAAGCAGTTCCCATCAGTCAAGGGCCGCTGTTTCGGATAACGCGGAACTCGGAGTCCAGGTCAGTTGAGAAGGGATCAGATTGGTGGCGGCGCGGCGGTTCGGTGTGTAGTTTTTGATAAGGGGATACGCTGGAGGTTATGATGTCTTATGACTGGAGATTTTATCATTGCATAGTGGCTTCTCTTAAAATCATTATCATTCAATCTCTTCAAGCTCCTGTTTGCAAATTTGAACAGGAGCTAATCTTTTCCCTGTTTCATCAGGGCATTCTTGTAGTTATCTTCTGAATCTTCCTCTAATGTAACATGGCTGGCGCGGACAGGCGCTGATCTTTCTCTTGAGTGTGGAGGCACATAGGTCGATCGGCAGTTGGAAGCTATGTGTCCCAATCAGTTACAATTGATGCATACTTCACATTGATGTCGATCAGCGACTTCTTCGGGAGTGATCCCTGGGACTCGGAAGCCTGTTCAAATGGCAGAAACTCTTGCTTGTGCATAGGCATTTGAATCTATCCAGTTCATGATATCTGCATCATGGTTGTTCTTCGGTGTGGGTGTATGAGTGGCTGGGTTATCTGTCAGTGCAGGTGTATAAGTGACTGGGTTATTCATTGGTGCAGGTGTATAAGTCGCTGGGGTGTAATGTCTTCTGCCACTGTTCTGTATATTCTTGAGCTTGGTAAGATGGTCATTCATTGTCCGGAGCTGTGTGCAGAAGCCTTCATAAGTTGGGTCTTCATCTGCACTTACAAGGGCCTGTAAGAGTTCAAAAGTCAATGTCTTCTTGAGCATGCTAATCTTCATTCTATCCTTCCAAGATTGATCACCTGCTTCTAGGATCTTGGTGTTGAAGTCAGGGATGAATGTTGTAAGAGGAGTGTTCCTCTGTCAAGAACTCTGTAACCAATCTAATGCTTTCTGTTGCATGCCAGTGTCTTGGAACAGAATATCAAGATGTTTCATGATGTTGTCAGGCGTTCGCAACACTGGTTCACATGCTTCCATCCATGGATGGAACTTCTGTTTCGCGCGATTCTTCAATCTTTCATTGATATATCAACCTTGATTGATTAATGAACTGATGGAATCTCCATCTACACTCAGTTTCGCGAGCATTTCCATCCTCCATGATGAGTAGAGAGTGAGATTGGAAGCATTGAAATATGCAGGGGCATCTAAGCGTTCTTTCGGCGCTTTTGTATTCGATTCTGTAGATGTTGAAATTGCATGGGTTCCTTGTGATAATCATTGAATCTCTTCATATTGGCGTTGTTGAGTTGCATGCATATCAGCTATCTGTTGCTGTTGTAATTTCAACATTGCTCAGAGCCACTGTGGCACTGCATCTATGCTCATGTTCGAGTTCGAGTTCGAGTTTGAGGGTTCCATATTATCATTAGACATGGTTGTATCGATTGTCGGATGTGTGATATCTGTGGAATCTGAAGAAGTGTAATTGTATTCTCATACGTCTGGGTGTCAGGACTCTCGGGTCTTTCACTGATGTTCTCTTGTAAGATCTTATTCTCTTTGTAAGATCTTGTTGCGGGGCCAGGGCGACTGGCGAGCAAGCTTCTATCTGGGGACTCAGTGTCTGCTTAGCTGTGTTTCTCTTTCTTTCGCTGATGTTCTCTTGTAAGATCTTACTCTCTTTGTAAGATCTTGTTGCAGGGCCAGGGTGACTGGCGAGCAAGCTTCTATCTGGGGACTATCTGGGGACTCAGTGTCTGCTTAACTGTGTGACTGTTTCTCTTTCTTATATGTTGTTACGCGTTTGGATATCTCTCAATGGATAATCATTTCTAATGAGGAGACGATGCTGGATAATTGTTTCCTAATAAGGAGACAATGAGCGTTTTTATAGTGTAAGGGGCCTACGCCAAATAGATCGGTATAATATTGATAGATCTTATATAACAAAGATAAAAACGCTGGAGAAGGAAAGAAAGAGAAAGTGTGAGAATCAGCGATTGAGGTGGATATTTATATGTGTATGTGGTGGCGTACGCGGTGGAGCTTCGGGGCGGAAGAACATATACACGTTCGTAGCGGCCGAGGATCGGCAATCGAGAATGGCCGAGGATCTGCAATCGAGAATGGCCGAGGATCTGAGCGTATGTGGAATCTGTGGAGTGTAACGGAATAGTCTATATGATTGATCGGGGTGGCGGCCGAGGATCGGCGATCGAGAATGGCCGAGGATCGGAGCGTACGTAGAATCTGTGGAGTGTAACGGAATAGTCTATATGATTGATCGGGCGCAGCCCGCCACACATGCTCTTCTTCAATTTCTCTATATATACACATACACATTTCTATATTAGCATTTCAGTGAATCTTGTGATAAATGACATTAATGTTGTACACAGAGTGATAGAGGAATCAGAGACATGTATAGTATTGTTGCAAGAGCAGCTTGCAGCTCTCAAATTCCTTGCAGATCTTGAGTTTTGAGATTTCCTTTATTTTTGACATTTTTCAGATGATGTGGCATTGAAAATAGATTAAATGTATAGCATATGAAAATGAATGAGATGTGTATAATACCATTTGTCTTTTGCAGCTGATTCTTACAGTTGATGATTAATTCATTATCTCTTTTCTTTTCTTATGCTTTTTCTTTATCTGCTAGTCACTACTCTTATATAATCTCTATATAATACAGTGATCAGTGACTAGGTTCAGCAGCTTTCATCTTTTGTGATTCTGTCTCACATATTATACTGTCTCTCTTCATCTACTTAGATCACTACAGTGAACAGCTCATTGAAACTAATCTCACTCAATCTCTGAGTGTTCTCAGAGATCAAGATAGCTTAGTCTCACACATTTATGAATATTTTATATAGTTCATTCTCTGTGATCTCTGTGATTGAACTGATATAAACAGTTAAATTCAACTCTGAATTCCTTTTTCTTCTGCAATCTGATTCATATATAAGTCTGCTGCTTTGAGATTACTCTTTATCATATTACATCTGCTGTCTGCAGTGTGTTATTATACAATCAGCTACAGTCTTATCACTTATTGAAGTGTGATATTCATCTGATTTCTTCATTTCTTTTCATTCTTTTCTTGTAATTGTGAAAAGATTGGAATAAGTGAGATTATCTGATTCATAAATGTCTATGATTTCTCTTACTTTGTGAGACTTTTCAATTATAAGTCTCTTCTTTTTCAACACTGATGATAGTGCTGTAGATGATCATAATCTGCTCAGATCTTACATCTTTGCTTTTATAAGTTATAAATTATTAATTAAGTTATATAAGACTCATCTCTCTGATTCTTTCAATGTGTACATTTTCAGAGAATGTGATTTGAGTATTTTATATGACTCAAATCATCTAAATTGAAACTTCTCAGAACTCTCATTATGTATGAGAACTCACATTCTCATCTTGAGACTTGATTTCTTAACAAGTGAGTCTTGTATTCTTTTCAATTGAATTGCTCAGTTTAGAAGTAAGTTAGTAACTCATTAGCTTTTACATGTGCATGGCTGATCTCTTTCAATCTTGGTTCTGTATTCACAACTGTTGCATTCACAACTGCTACTGCTGCATTCATAACTGCTGTTTTCTCTCTCACCTTTTCCGAAGCATTCTCCGGGATGTGTGGATGCAATTCATACAACAGGTAGAATGATAAACACTTGAAGACTGCATGCTGTCAAATCTGCATGATCAGTAGCACCTGCCCGAGATATTCATTTCATAGTCTTGTAGACTTGCTCACTAGATATTTCATCAGCATGTTGCTCAAGATTTCATTCAAGTGTTTCATCTTTTTATTCATCTGCGGATGATATGATGTTGTTCTATGATGTCTTGTCTGTAACTGGCTGATGAAATGCCTCATCACTTCTTCTACAAGATTCACACTGTTATCAGTTAGAATCTCATGCAGCATTTCATAGTTGACATAGATATCATTATGTAGAAACTTCACTATCATCTTCTCTATCATCTCTGAAACTGCTTTTACAACTGATCAGTCAGTAGTGTAATCAATAGCAGTAATTATTCATCAATTTTCATTTAGCATTTGCAGTAATATATCTATGAGATTCATCTTTCATCATTTGAATAGTTGTATCATACACTTCATCTGATGTTGCACTTTCTCACATTCTAATCCTTTCTTAGATTCTTTTATGATCTGATATTTCAGGCACTTGTAAGTGTATATCTGAATGTTCTCAGTCATGCTTGATCAGTATACTCTTAATTCAAGTACACTCATGAGTTCAGAGCTTTCTAAGTGACTGAATTCCTTGTGCATGTGAGTCACTAAGTCATGTCTAAATGAAGATTCTAGATAGGGAGCTTCTGTGTATTCTAGATTGCAGTAAAGCACAATGTCATTTTAGTTTCTCAATTTCCTCAGCTTGAAGTTTGAAAGCATCTCTTCTACTACTCTTATGAGACACTTGTTATCTGACATCTTATCATTCTTCAAGTGAGAGATCATGATGTTCACTCATTCTGATTTCTTGCATTCTCTCAGCACATTTAACATGAATGTTTCTTGTGCCTGATTCACAGAACTCTCACTCATGAAATCAGGTCTGTGACTGATTGCATCAGATATCACTGCATCTGATCTCTTTCAGTATTTGATATGAAGATTGTACACTTGAAACTCTGAGATTCAACATGCTAAGCATTTGAAAGGTTTTATTATTGATTATAGATAGATGAGACTTTCATGATCTGTGATCACTGTTGTTGTATACTCATTGTCAATATATCTATCTCACAATGTCAGTGTGTGCTTGATTACTAGTAATTTCTTTTTATACACTGAATAATTGAGCTCAGCATCTGATAGTTTTCTATCATTGTATATTATCAGATACAGCTTGCTGTTCTTACTCATCTGTAGAAGAGTGTCTTCAATAGCTCATTCAGATGCATCTGTCTTGATGTAGAAAGATTTATCATAATCTGATTAAATAAGCACTGAGAATATTATTACATGTTCTCTCAGTGTGAGAAAAGCCTCTTCACACACAGCATTTCAGATAATTGAATGAAACTTCTTCTTTCACAGATTTATATCTATTTCTCTTAAGAGATCTGAGAGTGATATAGATATTTGTGTGAAATCCTTGATAAATCTGCAGTAATATGAGATCAACTCAAGAAACTGTTGTATATAATGTATGTTTCTCAGCTGTGATCAATTCAGTATAACATTCAATTTCTTCAGAATAAGATGTATACAGTTATCACTTACTATATGTTCTATAAACTTCAACTCTTCTATTTCAAACACACACTTGATTGATTTGATATAGAGCTTATACTCTGTCAGAGTTGTAAGCACTTTATCAAGATACTTTAGATATTCATTATATGAGTTTGAAAAGACTAGAATGTCATTGAGATATATGAGACATGAGATTTCATTCTGTTTATGAAGAATTGTATTCATCATTATTTGAAAGATGACAGATGCATTTGTCAGACTGAATGATATTATCAGAACTTCAAACTTCTCTCATTGTGTATTAAACACAGTTTGCAGGACTAGACTGGCCGCTGAGACTATGAATTTCACATTTAATCTCATTTGATCTGGTCTCATACATTTCTTGGCGTGAATCCCACTGGGACTAATCATTAAATAAACATGCAAAGTGACTATATATCAGATCTCAAAATGAAACCATGACTTGAAAAAAATGAGAAAGTGATCTCATTTGATCTCATTTAGTTTCATTCTTGATATAAAGTTACTATTTTTAGACATTTTAAGGTTTTTTTTAGACTATTTTTAATTTTTTAAAAAGTAACACTTTTTGATAATGCTCAAATGAGATTTAAAGTCATTTAAAGCAATAAAAATAATTTAAATTGAGAAGTGGAAATCATGGTCTCATTTGAAAAATGTGACAAGAGTAGACAGTAAGTCTCACTGAGACAGTATGGGACTACTATCTAATGTTGCCCCGGTGGCCGAATGGTTAATGCGGCCACCTGGTAGCGCCTTGGCGTGGGAAACCAAGGCATGTGGGTTCGAAACCCGCAGGGGATATATTAAATCCGGAACTCAAGCACCTCAGGTTTCTAATAAATACAGAGGTGTACAAATCGCTTCAATAAATCACTCTATGTTCCTGGGCTGGGAAGTTATTATCGCATGTATCTAATTGTCACTCCTTTGTATTTCCTATGTTCTTGTTATCTTGATGTGGTCTCAACACCTGTATTTCCTCCTGTATAATCAACACTTGACCTGTATTTAACATCACGCAAGGACTCATCATAAGCTCCGCTTGCATATGAGTATAATGGAAGAATAATAATAATAATAATAATAACTATCTAATGTTAGAACTGTGTAATGGGATCTGTTGAATTGACAATGAGACTATCAAAAATTCTGGTCCTGGTCTCAGACACGGTCACACGGTCAGTCTATGCAGAACTGACAGTTTGTCTACACAGATCTGCCAGTATTCTGAGAGAAGATCAATCTTTAATAGATATCAGGTGTTTCTGACTGTATTCAACTGTTGTTGAATTCATGACAGTGAATATTCATTCTTGATTGTAAGCTTGTTAAGTGCTTGATAATTTATACATATTCATCACTTCTTCTCTGCCTTTTTCATGAATAGAACTAGAAAGCCTCACACACTTGATGAGAATTGTATGAGATTACATTCTAGAAGATCAGTGATCTGATACTTCTGTTCTTTGAGATGCATTTGTGACAGAGAGTACACATTCTGATTGACTGGTTTTACATTCTCTGTATTAATCTCATGTATGAATCCTTGTTCCAGCAGCAATTCTGATGAAAGATCTGTTCAGAAGACCTTCTCATGCTTCTTCAGAAGCTTCTTTATACACTTGTTCTTCTATATATTCTTTATCTTGGTTTCCTTCACTTTCAGATTCTGTATGACATACAGAATGCTTTCAGATAAGGTCTTACAAATCATTCTCTTTACTTGTTAATGTGTAAGCAGATTTAATTCTTCTATATCAGAGGTGTGAAATGTTCTTCTCATATCAGTTAATAGAATTGTATGAACTGTTTTCTTCTTATCAGTTCACTGTATATGACATGTACATCATTGAATCTGTGAATTGAATCTTTGAAATCAATTGAGTCTGAGAATAAGATTGTATTTCACATTCTGCAGCTCTCACACTCAAATATAGCAAGATTATTCTCTAAAGTGCAAGAAAACTCTTACTTTTGCAGATGATATCAAATATCAGTTATCAGATAATCTTATACATCAGAAATTCTTCACTCAGTGAATCTCTTTCAATCTTCAGATTATATAATTATT